GGCTGGAATCAGATGGACGACTCCCAGCAATGCCACTCAGGTTAGGGCTTTGGAGGGCCAGAGATGTGCTTAGGAAATTTTAAGTCTCATTAGCTACGGAGACATGGCTTGAGGAGTGTGTCTGTCTAAATGAAATTGAAGGAAGTTGTTCGCAAAGATTGGAAACATTGCTAAGTAATCTAGTCTAAATTCGGAGTGAAATTTAATGACGAAACACTTGAGATAAGATACGCATCCGTTTAGCAGAATTTTCATCACAATTACTTCCATCCAGTGAGGTAAAGTTCGCAAATAAATAGGTTAGATGGATATATACAAATAAATATACATTCAATCGAATAGGCAGTAACACGTATATGCAAACAGAGAGCTGATATAGACGAACAGAAAATCCGGAATTTATAAGATTCTTAAGAGCATAAAGAAGCAGAGAAATCGATAGAAAGATGCGAATAAAGTGCAAAAATGTGCTAAACAAAGTGTGTGGTACTTAAATTATCAGAAAATATTTTCTACGAACGATGGTCCTCCTACGTCATTGTAGGCAGTCTAAAACCTGACAGCTGAGCTGCTGAAAATTAAATGGACAGAGCCAAGCGAGATCGAAGCTACGCTATAACTGTCAGATTTTTCATCAACTACCCATATCTGACATGACCATCGTTGTCAAAAGTGCTATGCGTGAATTAATAAAAGTCTTTCGTTTTTTATAAATTATAGCGTAATTGCAGATCGCCATTGTTTACAACTTAACAAAGGAGTGTTCTCATATAGGATATGCTGTTGTATGTTTTAATGAGACTCGTTCAGATGAGCAATTATGAGTGATAGACCAAAATGGCATTCATGCAATTAGTCGTCCCTACTCTTATATGGAATAGATACAAATAATGGAATGATAGAAAGTCTCACATAAAAATTCACACAACTAGTCCCTTTTCGCTTGAGTATATTCAAGTTATTCAGCCTATCGAGTAAGTAGGCCCGTAGAATTTGTCTAGAGAACCAATTCGTGCCAGGGTACGTGGAGGTACAACGAAAAAAAGAAGATGAAAAGAGAATCTCAAGAGAAGGAGAAGTCATGACGTCGTTTAAACCATCCAAAATGTTAATTTATAATGTAAGTAATCGACGAAACACTCGAGGCAATATAAACCACGAAACATAAAATTGGAAAATAGGGTAATACGGAGGCGAGGTGCAAATTAAAAGGCGAAAAGGCGTGGCAATATAAGCATTTGTAAATAAAGCAAACTAAATGGCTAAAGAATATTCACCCGATCAACTCGACAGTGGCGCAACCTTTATCCGAACATCACAACCTAAAGTGGCCGGAAGGTTGGTCTAACGGCATCTTTTGGGCTTAACTCTCCAAAAGACTTTGCACAACACTTTACATAAACACTGTGATGAGGTGATGCTGTAAAAGTTCACACGCATAACCATTCATGCTCATGCCATGAGGTGCGTGCAGCTGACTAGAACAGCTCAGTTGACATCGACTCTGAGCCGACCTGACTTGTTTAGTTTGAAGGCTTTTGATGATGGGGCATTCAGTAGAAAAAGACTAATTGAATCGACAGAGCAAGTTCACGTGCTGATGCTGCCCTTAAATGAAATGACGATTCCGTAGTGCTCTAGTTTTGCATACAATCTAGTCGCCCACCGTATGGCATCAATGTAATGACGGGTCAGGCTCCTTATCGGAGGCAAAGAAGTAAAATAGGTGTTATGACGTAGTAGCACAATAATATGGCATGAGAAAGGGGTTCCTCTACTACTTGGCATCAGCGTTCAGCCTGACACTGATCGCGCACAGGAGCCAAACCTCGAGCACACACAGAA